CCACAACAATGAGTGCGATGAGGAGGCAAACCTCATGTTCACGGATGATGAAGAGCCCGCATTGATGTTGGCCGAGAAAATGACCAATCTATTGATACTCAATGAAGAAAAAGTTATGACAAACCCCTTCATAGATGAAGAAGACCAAGTAGAGACGAACATGTGGTACCTAAACAACAGAGCTAACAACCACATAATCGGGGATTGAGCAAAGTTCAAGAAGCTTTGCGATGGATCAATTGTACCGATCCAAGGCAAAGGATACATCCTTTTCCAGTGTAAGAATGATGATCAACATCTATTGACCAAGGTGTATTACATCCCAAGGTTGAAGAACAATATTATTAGCCTTGGTCAAATGCAAAAAAAGGTAGCAGAGTGGAGATAGTCGGCCATTACTCAAGATATACAATAAAGCCGGAACCTTGTTGATGAAGGTAAAATGGTCGCGAAACTACATGTATAAGATACTATTGAAAGACGATCAACATCTTCCAAAAGTATCCATTGGCGTTGGCCACAAGAAAGTGAAGAAGAAACCAATTGGTCGGGATAACAAGGAACTGAAGACAAATCCAAGAAGAAACCAAAGGTTCCTGTTGTATTTCGATAATCGGCCAGGGAAATCCTTTTCTTTTCGGTGAGTGTAATCGTTGACGGAAAGTTGTTAGAAGAAAATAAAAAGCGTAAAATAACAAAGAGAGAGAATTGCTGAAATATTGACTGTGCTTAAAATCAGGTGGTGGAATCTTCTAAACCGATTTAACTATTTAAATATAATTTATCCTAAAAATGGCTGGGGAGTGGCCAACTAAATCTGTGCCACTTCCTACAAAATTGCCGTCTAAAAATTTGGTAATTCATTCGACGTGTTTGTCAAATGGTCAAACAGAGGTACTCAATCAACTAATGAAATCGTGTGAATCTAAATAAGAAAAAACTCAGGTTTTATCTAACAATCTCCTCCTAAAACTTGTGGTATATCTACCTTATTTTGTTTGAACTCCGATTTGAGCCCCTATGGCTCAGTGTCCCTGGCGGCATGTCCTCCAGACTCCACGTCTTGTTCGGCCACCTCTTTTTCGAGTTGGCGCGCCGTCAGTCCAGATGGTTCACCTCTTCCTAATAGGTCTTCCATCCTCCGGTACCTGGCCGAGAGGTTGACTGGTTGCTCTATCTCCAACTCTAGGATGTAAAGGCGGTTTGCCGTTCACCGAACTTGCGTGAGCAACCGTCGTCGATCATCGCGGATTCTAAGTAGCCCGCGCTTGATGGAAATGTGGCAGCCGGCCTTATCGAGTTGACCCAAGCTCACAATATTAGCCTTGAGCCTCAGAATGAAGTAGACGCCGGTCAGCTTGTGATGATTGCCTCCCTTGCCGACGAACAGGATGGTGTCGTGCCCTTCGATCTCGACAACGGAGCCGTCGCCGAATTTCACCGTCCTGCAAATCCCCGAGTCAAGCTCGGAGAACGCAGACTTGGCCCCTGTCATATGGTTTGTTGCCCCCGTGTCGAGGACCCATCGCCGGTGCTCTTGCTGCTTGCCTCTTTCACCGATTTGAGCGAACACTCGCTCCTCCTTCAATTGAATTGGCTCCCCAACCGGTGCCTTTGTTATGCACAGTTGGAGCTCTTCCTCGGGTTCGACGCTCACCGGAGCAGTTATGCCGTCGTCGATTACCTTTATGGATTTGGGGAGCTCTTCCTCGGGTTCGACGCTCATCGGAGCAGTTATGCCGTCGTCGATTACCTCTGTGGATTTGGAATCGGAATTAGGGACATCAGGTAAGACTGATGCAGTCACCATGAAAAGGGCCGGCTCGTCCTCCTCAGATTGAGCCACATGGGCCTTCTCGGGCGTCTCCTTGTTCCTGAGCTTGCTCCAGCAATTTTTGCTCAGGTGACCTCTCTTCCCACAGTACAAGCACTGGATTGGCCCGTCATCAGTCGGCTCCTCCTTCTTTTTATCTAACAGGTTCCCTCAATCAGCGAAGTGCAACCTACTAGTTGTTGTGTATCATCGAACTTACCATCTCAACCAAGGAGGCCTAGAGGAAGACGACTAGGTGTAAGAAAAATGAGACTTCAAACTTGCTATCTCAACCAAAGAAACCTATTGGTAGGCCAAAAAAGAAGGTTGAAAACGGAGGAGTCCATTACAAGAAGTTTCTACATGTAAGTTTGATGATAAATTTTCTCCACATAAGAGAGGAGTGGAAGAAATTGGAAGAAGACAAAGTTGACTAGGGACCAAGCAAAGATGGACATTCTCACCAAGACCCTAGAAAGGGTTAAATTTGCAGACATGCAAAAGTTGCTTGAAGTGAAGAATCTCGAGCAAAGTTAAGCTTATGGAGGAGAATAGGGTTAAATTTGAAGACATGCAAAAGTTGCTTGAAGTGAAGAATCTCGAGTAAAGTCAAGCTTATGGAGGAGAATATGAGTTAATAAGCTTACCTTAGCAAAAGAAATTATCAACTTAGAGGAATTTTAGGAAATTTTAAGCTAAGTTATTAAAATTCTCAAGAGGTCACTCAACAAAGAATTAATCCAAGCAAAGCATGCTTAATTATGGAATTCTTATGATTGTGCCATTGAAAAGGAAGGTGCACCTTGTTGGTATACGTACTAACATTCAATTCTTTTTAAGCATTTCTTAGTATCCTCATAATCGGATGTGGTCTCAATTCATTGATGTACCACTTTTTTACCTAGGTGTCACATGCCCACTAGCTTCTGCATTGGTGCATCCCGAACCACATCTTATTAGAAGAGGTACCGCTCTGATACTATTTGTAACGACCCATGTCCAAGATTCAAATCAGGCTTTGGAATTCAGATTTAGCACATGATGACAACGACATTCTCTTACATCCCTTGCAACATGATCATATTACTTATTTTTCGCTTCTAAGAGTAAAAACTATCCTCACAAACCAACACAAGTCATTCTAGCATGTTTTGTCCTCACTCACATGCATCTTATAAAATTTCAAGGCGGTCACCTGACTTGAATAGCTCAAAGCAAAGCACACTTAACTATGAAGTTTCTATGATTGAGCCACTTTAAAAGAATGTGTATCTTGTTAGTAAAGGTAGTAACTTTGAATTCTTTTTATGCTTTTTTTAATCATTCTATTCTCAAAATTGCTCCCACTGAAATGTGGTTTCAGTTAAGTCAATGATTTAATTTTTATGAGAACTTAGGCCATTATGCTTGAAGAGTTCAAAGAGAGCATGAAGATAGAATTTGAGATAACTGGTAAAAGCATACTTTTCATGTCAATACTGTTGAGGGTTATTGGGAGAGAGTCCCACGTTGAGTAATTAAGGAGATGATAATGAGTTTATAATTAAAGAATACATCTCCATTAGTATGAGGTTTTTTGGGGGAAACTACAAGCAAAGCCATGAGAGCTTAGGCTTAAGTGGACAATATCATACCACTACTGTGGATGGTCGTGGTTTCAAAAAAATACTCCTACAGAAGTAGGTTCAAACTTGAGCAAGCACGATGAAAATGAAAATTTTGACGCTACAATTTATGGAAGTTTCGTTGAGAGTTTGAGATATTAAACTACGACTAGGCTCGATCTTATGTTCTCAGAAAGTTTGCTGAGCTATTTTATGACACACCAAAGATAAGTCATTTAGAAGCTGGAAAAGAGTTATTTGTCATGTATTGTGAGCTATTGATCATTGTATTCACAATAAGAACATGGTTAAAATGATAATGATTGGGGATGAAACATTGATGATTACAAAAATACTTATATGTGATCGACATTAGTTTGGGTGCAGTTTCATGGGTATTAAAGATATTAAGAAATGGCCACTGATACAATCAGAATCAGATCCTTTACAGTATCCGTAATCACTTTTACTTTATCTTGAAATCTAGTGGTTGAATTTCCAACCAAATTAGATATGATTTAGAACATCTATAGCTTATCACATCCAACGGTGGGAATTCAAGACAAAAATCGGCAAAATCTCTGATCAGGGTAAGTTTTTTCAACGTAAAAATTTAGAAAGATCGATAATGGTGATTCTAGAAATTTCAAAGGTGGTGGATCCTTCCTCTAAAATTATGAGTCATGGGCGTTCATTTGGAGCAAGTAACAAACAACGTCCAGCCATCAATTGCGAGTTATAAAAATTTGTTTTTGGGTATCAAGTTCTCGGGTTCTCTCCAAATTCGAGAGCTATAGTCCACTATTTATTCCAAACTTATTTCTATACCTTTTAAATAAGATTACCCACAAGTTTGGTAAAAAAGGAAAGCGTCGAAAATGCCTCAAACCTATATCTCTAATTCGGTCCGTCGTTCAAGGAGTCCCAAGGAGTTTGAAAAATTCAATCAGAGGCTACACGTGAATTCGTCGTGTAAGATCTATTCCAATCGATTTCTACGTCTCCAAGATACATTTCCATAGAAAACCTTGAAGGACAATAACTTTAAAGGTGTGTCCAATTAGAGAATTTTAATATTAGGTAAGCTTGGGAGGACAATACATTTCCATGTCGAGCTTGAATGATTCTACATGCCACCTAAATTCCATAGAATTCCAAAAAAACTTAACCATTGGCCAAAAGAAAGTAAAAGGCTTCTTTTACTACATTTTTCAAGCCTCTTTTACAAATATAACATACATACTTTATATAGCCTCAAAATAAAAACCGTTAACCTCATGTGAGACATTACTAGAGTTGTGACTATATTTTATGACCATAATTAGCCACTTTGTATACTTTAGGATTATAATTAGCCACTAGGTAAATAAGTCTTAAAATACATTAAAGAAACGCTATAACTCTAAATTAGGATCCACCCAAAATTTATAACAATGAAACTTGATTCTCATTCGATGTGGCATGAATTGAAATATATATTTTTTTTTTATAATTTCAACAACATTTTCTTCACATCTTGGTCGAAGTATGTTGTATGAGTGAGGTCTCTTAGTTCATATCATAAACTTCGTGTTTACATTACTTTATCCGAAATGAAGAAAAAAACACTGTAGCACAAACATATCAATGATGTCAAGAGAACCAAGTTTGTCCCGGACCGTGTGTGCCATTTGTCGGACGCTGTCATCTGACTTCTGCAAAATTAAAATAAAAAAAAATTAAACAGATAAACACTAAGACATAGCAAAGGAAAAAGCATTACGAACCACATCAGCGATGAAGAGCAAATGGCTTTGCGGGGAAGCATTAGAGAGTTGCAGCTGAAGTGAATCCAAATTGGTTTTGTCGCGGCCGCAACCAATAATTAGATGGCCATGTTTCGCAAACTCCAATGCCAAAGCTCGTCCTATCCCTCTGGTCACCCCAGTTATTAGAACTGTCTTCTTGGTTTCTTGTTGTAATTCATGGTTTGAAATGGTTGCAGCCATGGATTTGTCTTCTCCAAAGCGAATACCTAATTTAGTGTACAAATGATTTGGTTCTCCACTTAAAATTATGTGTAGAAGTGTTGGATTTTGTACAATAATTGAAAACAGAAACATGGACAACAAACTCTTCCCTTTTGAGGGGCTGCAGCTTTCAAGAGTCGTACAAAATTTTCAAAGCTATCCTAAAACTCATGATGTAGCTTTCAAGAGTCGTGCAAAATTTTCAAACTTACATGCATGATTTGTTTTTTAGTTTTTTAATGATATACAAGACCTTGGCGATCACGAAATATACAAGACTTTGAAATTATCCGCCCGTTCTAAGCTCCTTTTACTTACTTTCATGTTAGATAAGTTTTTACTATTCTTATTGTGCCAATACATAGGTATATGACCAATCACCGAAATCATGTCACATGCGCCACCGCTAAAATGCCCTAAAATGTACTATAGGGTGTAACACCCAAAAAAATGAAAGGAATTAGATCCAACAAGAATAAGCTGCCCATGACCTAAATGATCAAAAGGGGAGGAAGTAAAGGATTAAGCAAGGATGATGATCTCAAGCAAGTTATTCTTATACAAGTAATGTCAACAAGTTTAAGACCTATGGAAAAAGGATTGGAAACTAAAAGTAAGTGAAAAGGGCAAAAAGGTCATTTTTCCAATTATTAGGGACCTTCCCGGATTTTTAGTTCCTTATCTAGAAGGAATTTCAAGATGCTCAACCAGGGAAAAATGATCAACATGAGATGAAGTATGTTTAGAAAAATTATGAATGTTTCAGGAAAAATAATATTAAAATATTCGAAAAGTGCCAAATTACCATAATACCCTTGGTAGAATGAATAATTACGAAAATGCCCCTCTGATCAGAATTAGAGTATCTACAGTGACCATTTGAGATATCTCTCGAAACTCAAATCTTAGCGGTTGGATCTTCCCCAAATTTGGATAAGATCTAGACAACGGACATATCATCACATCCGACGGCTGGTATTCAAAACTAATGTCGGTAAAGCCCTGATCGGAGCAGATTTTCCGACGAATTATCCAGAATGTTCAATCTCCAAATCACGACGAATCTGGAGCTTTCATGTCAGTTTAAGCTCCTCCTGTCTGAAGTAGGGGAAACAATATGGAACAAGACTCGAGCAAGGTCGAGCACCCATTCGAGAGTTATGAGCGTTTAGTTTGTGGGTCTCCTACTCTCGGGTTTCTTCCAAATTCGAGAGCAATTCTCCACCATTCCTCCTCAAACTTATTCCTATAGTTTACAAACAAGATTACCCACAAGTTATATGAAGGAATCGAGAGCTGAAACGTCGTAGAACAAGATACCCAAGAGATCGAAAATCTGGCGTTCGGGTGAGTTGCATACCGAGAAACCGGGCCTTGAAAACCCCTATAATCGGCTACCCGATACGAAATCCCCTGTTTTAGCTCCGGCATGGAAAATGATTTTGGACGAACTTTGGAGGCTCATATCTTAGGCTATGATCCACGAAAAGGTATGAAATCAATCCTAAGCTCTTCCTTGTAATATCGTCGTTAAGTTTCATGACGAAATCGAGGGGCTAAACGAAGATATTGGGGCTGTAGAAGGCCACTTTCAGACGGTGGCGCAAATGGACGAGCGCATCTTCTTCCTGTCCAGAGGAAGAAGACGATGACGTGGGCGGTTCAGTTGAACCGGCCAAGTCAGCCCAAAAATCTGACCTTCCCTCGGTGTTTCTCAATTTTAATCCCCTTCCAGGCCGGTTCTCATAACAAACCTTATGGTTCCAGAAACTAGACACAGTGAGGAGTCTATGGAAGGAAATGTGAAGTAATTCGAATACCGGAAGCTCAAGAATGGAGGTCCCAAACGTCGACGATGAGGTAAGTAGCCACCTTGGACTTTTCTTAAGAAATACTTATAGGAATCGCTTGGATTTTCATATGAAACCTAAACCAAGTATTACTGAAGGATCTATGAAAGAAAAACTCAAAGAACCATAAGTTAAGGCGCTGAACTGACCAAATTGCTCGAGATTTAAGGAACATTAAAATAACCCACTAAATGAGCCCTGATGCCTATGAAACTTTAATGATGAGCATATTATAGCATGTTTAGGTTATGTGTGAAATTTAGTAGTCAATGGATAAGGATAAGTAGGTAAACCAAGAAATGAGGCAAAATGACCACAATGCCCTTAAGGATATCTACCTACGGTTCATGACCTAGATGGCCTCCAAATGCTATGAAACTCTACAGTAGATCTTATTGTATGATGATTGATGAGGTGGTGAAGTTTGAAAGCCACTGGAACTCGTTAAGTAGCAAAACCAAGAATTAGGGGTAAAATGACCATAATGCCCCTAAGGAAGACTACCTACGGGTTAAGCTCTAAATGACCTCCCAACATTATGAAATGTTGTATGAATCCTTATCTCATGATGTTGTATAAGGTAATAAAGTTTGGGAGTCATTGGGAAACGTTAGATAGCGAAACCAAGATATGGGGGAAAATGTATATCACGATCCACATGACGTTACCTCCTAGGATGACTAACAAGGTACCCATGAGATAAAAGATTCCCCATAGGTACCCTTGGTTGCTAATAAGATTCTAAGTGCACAAGGTTACGTTGGGCTATTCCTAAGAAGAACCTTTAAGTTCCAAGCTTGACCCAAGACGTTATGCATAAACCTAGGATCCCCAAGAATACAAGAAAACACCTAGGTTAATGTTAGATGGTATGCTTAACAAGTTGTTAGGATCCATGCCCGGAGTAACCATTATCTCCCATCATGAAGTGTACCAGGAGATCCCTATTCCTCTTTAGGTGAGATGCCTTGCTATATGTACCACGAGCAAGTTGTCATGACAGACTTATTATTTTCCTCACCTAAATGAGATGCCCTGCAACACGATATGTCAGCAGGATGCCATGTTTATGATAATGTCACGGATGCACTCATGGGGAGAAAACTAAAGGTTACTTTGAAAGTGTTTTCAGGACCAAAACACGATATATGACATGGTTAGCTCTTGAAAACGAAACAAGAAGTCATATCCTAGCTCAAGATCTAATTATGCTCCAAATCACCAACCATGTCCTCTAAGGTTTATTTTATATGACACGAGGATAAGCTCAAGATTTCAAGTTGGTTGGAGCAAGTTTGGAATATAAGCAAAGATGGAACTTAAGGAAACGCCTAAAGAAAACATGTCAAGATTCAAGATCCTTCTAGAACCCTCTAAGGAGCCCAGTATGAACTTATGACCTTCTAGAATAACTCATGCTAGTTATTACGATGGGTTTATATGATCACGAATGTATATAACAACTTACGCCTCAAGAAAATAAGAATCTTAGAAACTTATAAGATTAAGAATCAAGAACAAGCTATACAACCACCAAGACAAAAAGAATGCTAGGTACTACTCAAACATAAGGGACCAAAGTCCTCAAGACTCAAAATTCAAGAATGCTAGGTATTACTCTAAGCATGTCTAATTGTGGCCCATAACTCCCATCATGCGGTGCTTTTAAGGAGGCCTTTTTCCTCTTCTATGTGGGATGCCCTGCACCGTGTTTGCTTTGCAGGATGTCATGTTTGGCCTCATTCCCCTCACCTAGATGAGATGCCCTGCGTTATGTTATGATTTGCAGGATGCCATGAACTCATGTATGCACCGATCACGCGACCTATATGGTCTATGTTAGATTATGTGACCTTTATGGTCTATGCCATGTTCATGCATGCATCGACCACGTGACCTTTATGGTCTATGCCATGTTCATGCATGTATCGATCACGTGACCTTTATGGTCTATTCCATGTTCATGCATGTATCGATTACGTGACCTTTATGGTCTATCATGGGGGAGAATCTATGGCCACGATGGAGCAAGAAGAGAGTAAGTTATCCTAGCCATGAATTAAGAATCTCCTAAGACCTCTCACGGTACGTCATGTGTATGACTTAGACTACGCTGCTTGGAACGTAAGAAGCCTTGAGCGTAGGTATTAAGACTGTGTCGCTTGGAACGTATGAAGCCTTGGACACAGGATTGACAAGTTTATGTCTAGTACTGTAAATCTTAAGGGGAGTGTCTTGGAGAACAAATTAAGAAACATAACAAGAACTTACGACAAGAACAAGAACAAGAACAAGAAAACAAAAAGTGTGGTACCCTAGCATATCAAGGACACGATTAAGAGCCTACAAGTAGGCTGCTTACTGAGTCTTGTACTCATTCCTTATTCTCTATTTTTTTTCAGGAAATAAGGAGCTGGTCGAGGTCGAGAGCGGACTTTGGGGCAGGTGCCATAGACAAACCTCACCCTTCGTCCTTCTACCTTTTTGTGTCATCACTTAACTTTTGTTTTAACTGTTGTGTTTTGTTTTAAAATACTTTGTATAAACTTTATTTTGTTTGATATGTTTTAAGTTTTGGTTGTTTTATTTTGTTGAAAAATTTACCCGTCTTTTTAGAGTCATCGAGTCAGCCCAGTCGTTACATAGGGGATGTGACTAGTTGTAAATTCTTCCTACTTGAGTTATATGTATCAAAGTTGTTGTTGCTTGTTCGATTTTTGCTTATAAAATCGATTTCTTTCAAATTATTTTCAACGCATTTTTTTGCTCACGTTTTCTAAAACATTTCTTTCAAACGTGACCCGAGGCTCGATCATATGTCAAATATATTTAGTAGTCCATATCAATTCCTACTTCTACACATGCTCACTATTTAAACTCATCTCTTTTTTATATTTTTCTGAACACGATACACAATTTCCATAGTTTCTTCAATCTAAATTTTTCTAAAGCCTCCATCTTTGCTCTCTCTAAAGCTTCCAAGTTTATTTCTTGAGAGATGTTTATTGTATTGGGAGGAAATAGTTGCCAGTGGTCAAATTGTAAATCTACTATTTTAGAGAGTTGTAGTGTGTTTCTACGAAATTCAAACAATTGTACCGGTTTGATCCTGAGTCGTGGAAAGCATTGAGTTTGCTCCTGAACTCGTAAAAAGAACTATGTACCTATTTGATCCTCAGCCGTGGAAAGAATTGAGTTTGCTCTTAAATCGT